TTCAGATATTACTATAAGATCATAGTAATCAAGACAGGTGTGTGTGTGTGTGTGTGTGTGTGTGTGTGTGTGTGTGTGTGCGTGTGTGTGTTTATAAATCATTGTGGGAGAACAGGAACTTAGTTATATATCCAATATATGTATTTTCTTCATTTGATTTTTTTTTTTAATTTTTTCGAGACAGGGTTTCTCCGTAGTTTTTGGTTCCTGTCCTGGAACTAGCTCTTGTAGACCAAGCTGGCCTCGAACTCACAGAGATCCGCCTGCCTCTGCCTCCTGAGTGCTGGGATTAAAGGCGTGCGCCACCACCGCCTGGCTTCATTTGATTTTTTTAACCAAGGTATTGATGTAATTCATGAAGATAGTTCTTTAACAAATATTTCCTATAACCAGTAGGCATTCATATAGGAAAATTAAACAATTAACTGTTAGATGGCACAAAACAAACATTTATTTGAAGTGGATTAAATACAAAATCTAATATTTCAAGTAATAAAAGAGAAAATCCTTGTAGTAAAAGAATAAGCAGTGATTTCTTAGAACACAAAAAGGAAAGGAAAGAAAGGGCTTGAGGTACATCAAAATTTAAAATTAGTTTTCTTCCAGAGACGCTATTATGAAAATGAAAATCTGTCTGAGGATATATAACTCATTGGTAGAGCACTGCCTAGCCTTTGTGAAACCCTCTGTTCCGTCCCTAGTGTGGTAGGAAGAGATAGATGAACAAAAGAAAATGAAAAGAGAAGTTATATACTTGGAGAAAATATGTGAAAATATATCTGATAAAAAGTCTTCAAAGTATATTAAGAACTGTTAAATTCAATAATCAAGCATAGGGGCTGGAGAAATGGTTCAACAGCTAAGAGTACTGGCTGTTCTTGCTAAGGACCCAAGTTTAGTTCTAATCACCAACAACCAGCTGTTAACTCCAGTCCAAGGTATCTAAAACCCCCTTCTGGCTTCTCAGACACCAAGCATACATGTGGTATACAAACATATATGCAGGCAAAACACACAAAATAATAATACCATACCTCTCAAAGAGTCAGAGAAACCAGATATGGTGGCACCTTTTGTAATTTCTGACCTTCAGAGGCCAAGGAAAGAGGATTAAGAGTTCAAGGTCCATCTTAGCATTATCGTAAGATCCTGTCTCAGAAAGGGGTTGGGGGAGATAGGGGTGCAAAGTACCTTATTGAAGATGTTATATGAATGACCAGTAAGTACATGCAGACATTTAACAGCTAGCCATCAAGAAAAGGTACATTTACAGTATAAAGTGAGCCAGCACCACATCCCCACCAGAATGCCCCTTTTCAGAACCTGTAGTACAGAAGTCTCAGCAAGGATAAAGATCACTCGAACCTCATAATACATGCTGGTAAGATTTATTTATGCTTGGTAGGTGCATATACCTCATCGCTATGTAGAAATCAGAGGAGAAGTACTGCCAGATGGTTCTGTCCTTTCACCATGTAGGTCTGGAAGAATGAATTCAAGGTGTCAGGCTCAGCAGCAGGCTCCTTTACCTACTAAACCATCTTACCTGCCTATTAAAAACCTTTTGAGGGTGTTCTTTATCTCGATTTGGCTAGTCATTGCACACTTAAAGTTTGTACGTTATGTTTTATGTATCAGTAACTCAATGAATTCTGAATATGTATGAGTGTTATGCATGTATTATTTCTGTGTACCATGTTGGTACCTCCATGCCTGCAGAGGCCAGAAAGGGGCATCAGTGACCCTGGAACTGGAGTTACAAATAATTGTGAGCCACCGTGAGTGCTGGGAATTTAATTCAGGTTCTCTAAGTGCAGGTAGTGCTCTTAACTGCTGAGCCATCTCTCCAGCCCCCTCAACAAATTCCTTAAAAGTGAAAGCAACTATTTATTAAATCAAAGTAAAAAATAGAATTGAGGCCACTATAAAGCACAACTAAAAAATATACAAACTACCCATTAGAGATTTAAACTTTCTCTCTTGAACCCTGCAGTTTTACGTATTTTATTCTTGCTGTGTTTCTATCAGATTTCTAGAAGTGATTAATGCTACCTATCAGGAACACCTTTTCCATCCCTTCCCTTCCCTCCCCTCTCCTTCCCTCCCTTCCCCCCCTCCCCTCCCTTCTCTTCCCTTCCCTTCCTTGTGTCTCCATATTTTTGTATAAACCTACTGTTTATTATTGGGGTGGTTGGGACCTATGACCCCTCAGATCTCCCCAACCCTTCCCCTTGACAGGATGCTGGTGTGGACCAAGTCCCATGCAGATGTTGTACAGATAATCAGTCAGGTCATGCCCTGAAGTCAGTGTTCACACAGTCTCCGCTCCAGTTCTCCAGATCTTTCATTTGCTTTGCTTTCTTTCTTGGTAGAGATGATAGAGATGTCCCGCTTATGACTGAACACCAACAGTCATTCTTAGCACTTTGACTAGTTATGAGTCTGCAGTTAGTTTCCACTGGTCACTACATTCTGATCAAAGCAGATAGCAACATTTCTCTTTGGCCATAAGCAGTTATTTAGAAAGCAGTTTAATGAGCAAATCATGTCCATTTAGAAAAAGAACAGTAATAGCCTCCTAACTAGAAGGCCAATACTTTTGTGAGACATGGTGGCTTGAGTGTATAATTCCAGCCCTTGGGAAGTGGAGGTAAGATCTCTGTGAGTTTGGGTCAGCTTGAGCTAAGAGTAAATAAGCCTCTAAAGGGGGAATGTATTAGCTTCCTTTTTTAAAGTCGTTCACTTCATACCAGCACTCTCATTAACCCACCTCCTTTTTTTTCTCATTTATTCAAGATCTTGCCATCCTTAAAAAAAAAAAAACTTCCTTGGGACAAGTTTTATCTTCACATGTTCTTATTTTTCTGTGGCGTTGCAAAAGTTATAAAGCAGGGCTAGCAAGGTTGCAGTAAAGAATACTTTACTGCTACTCAGAGGACCCAGGTTCAGTTCCCAAAACCCACATTGGGCAGTTCATAAGTGCCTGTAACTGTAATTCCAGGGAATCCAGCACTCTCTTTGGCCTTCACAGGCATGTGCACTGGTGTGGCTGGCAAACAGAAACACATACATATACACAAATAAGGAAATAAATCTTTAAAGGTTTTAAAGCAGTTGAGGCCTATAACTGACCTCTTTTCTTTTGCTATATGAGTAGTGATATGGGGCTGGGGAGATGGCTCTGAGGTTAAGAGTGTTGGCTTCTCTTCCAGAGGACACTGGTTCAATCCCCAGCAACCACATGATGGCTCACAGCCATTTTTAATGAGATCTGGTACGCTCTTCTGGCCTATAGGCATACATAATAAATAAATAAATCTTAAAAAAAAAAAGAGTAGTGCTGATGTTGTAGCAGGAGCCCAGAGTCATGACAAGATCATTTCAGATTGTAATAAATGTTGTGAAGGAACTAGCGTGAAGTGAAAGTATAATAAATGAAAAGGATTGCTTTGGATAAAGTAATTCAAAATGAAATTTTTGTTTAAAATATAATCAACATCTTGATGTTTATCTGGAATATGAGGATATTTAACAACGATAAGGTGCAAACAGTCTGAACTATTTATAAATCTATTTTTAATAGTGCTCATGATATGACTTTGATTCTATATTCTGATTTTAAGTCAGAACTTAACAGAAGTGTTTTTAATATGTTTTCTCCAGTAATAAGACAGATAACTTGCATCTATTGTAGTTGATTTGACAGACATGTATTCAATGTTTCACACCTGTCAGGCCCTATTCTATGCATTGGAAATAAATAGAAATAAAATCAAAAACAAAGATAGTTTTTATGGATAATTTAGAATAACAAAGGATGTGTGACCTATCGTTGACTTTAAAATAATATGTTTGTGGGCTTGGTGCCTTTAGTCCCAGCACTTAGGAAGTAGAGGCAGTAGATCTCTGTGAGTTCAAGGTCACCTGGTCTATGTAGTGAGTTCTAGGACTGCATAGCCAGAGCTACATAATGAGACCCTGTCTCTAAAAGACAATAACAACAACAATAATATAATGTCATTATTAGAAAATTCCCTCCTCACTAGTATTAATGTTTTATAAAAATGTCATGCTGTCTTTAAAATTGATTGTCTTCAGCCGGGCGGTAGTGGCGCACGCCTTTAATCCCAGCACTCGGGAGGCAGAGGCAGGTGGGGATCTCTGTGAGTTCGAGACCAGCCTGGTCTACAAGAGCTAGTTCCAGGACAGGCTCCAAAACCACAGAGAAACCCTGTCTCAAAAAACAGAAAAAAAAAAAAAATTGATTGTCTTCACCAGACTTTCATAGTCTAGTGGAATTTGCATTCTAAATGAAAAGAAACATAGGCACATGAAAAACTAAGCAAAGCAAAGATCATGCTATTGCCTTAATTACTACATAACTGAACAGTGAGAGATCACTTTCCATTGGGTTTTTTTGTTAGAAAATAAGAATGTTCATCTTAGAGTATGAATAACTGGGAAGTAGAATGGAAGCCAATTTGGGGACAGGTACAGGAGGGATACATTGAAAGAGGTGGGATTTCAAGGACTTGGATAAATAGGCTTGACTGGGTGAAAGGTTTGTATTTATAACTAGTAAAAGATAAAGCAGAGACTGCATATGCAACAAGATTTGGGCCGTGTAGCCGGGCAATGGTGGTGCATGCCTTTAATCCCAGCACTCGGGAGGCAGAGGCAGGCGGATCTCTGTGAGTTCGAGACCAGCCTGGTCTATAGAGCTAGTTCCAGGACAGGCTCCAAAGCCACAGAAAAACCCTGTCTCAAAAAAA